AGGGCGTCGGCGATCTCGTTGTGGCTGCCTTTAATGTGTTGGACGTCGCTGGAGACCTCCGAGATGTAAGCCAAGTGGCGCAGGACACGAGGTGTATGTGACTGGGAAGCTGAAGCGAAGGCGTGGACGAGGGCTTGTGATCAGTGAAGATGGTGAACTGACGGGCCTCGAGGAAGTGTTGGAAATGTCTGACAGCCAAGTATATGGCCAGGAGTTCTCGATCAAAAGCGCTGTACTTGAGGTGTGGTGGTTGAAGCCGTTGTGAGAAGAAAGCAACGGGCATGAAAATTCCGTTGATCTCCTGCTGTAAGACGGCGCCCACTGCAGTAGAAGAAGCGTCTGTTGTAAGAGTGGTCCGGGCGTTAGGTGCGGGGTGGGCCAGGAGGGTGAGGCGTGTGATGTGCTGTTTGATAGTGGTGAATGCCGTAGTAGCCTCTTGAGTCCACATGAGAGACTTGTGAGACTTCTTTGGGCGTCCCTTGAGAAGGTCGTGTAGGGGGGCTAGGACGGTGGCAGCTTTGTCAATGAAGCGGTGGTAGTAGTTGACTAAACCCAGGAACTCTCGGAGTTTCTTCGCCGTTTCAGGTTTGGGGAACCCCCTAATCGCGGTTATCTTCTGTGGTAGGGGTTGTATGCCACTGGGCGAGACTCTGTGACCGAGGAAATCGATGGCCGAGGTTCCAAAGACGCACTTAGCAGGATGAACTTTCATGTTGTTGTTCTGCAGGCGTTGGAGAAGGAGTTGTAGGTGGTGGCGGTGCTCGGCAGGCGTCGAAGATGCGACGAGGATGTCGTCAATGTAGACGGTGACAAAATCGAGGTCGCGAAGCATATGGTCCATGAACCTTTGGAAAGTCTGTGCTACATTGCGTAAGCCAAAACTCATGAAAGTGTACTCGAAGAGTCCGAACGGAGTGGTGATGGCTGTCTTCTGGGTATCTGCCGGTGCTACTGGGATCTGGTGGAAGGCACACTCCAAGTCGATCTTCGAGAAGATAGTCTTGCCATGAAGTTTGTGGTGAAAGTCCTGGACATGCGGAATAGGGTACCTGTCAGGTTTGGTGACGAGATTCAGGGCTCTGTAGTCCCCACACACCCTCCACTCGCCGGGTGTTCGCTTAGGAACCATGTGAAGAGGCGATGCCCAGGGACTCCTTGAAGGGCGAATGATGCCGTCTTGCAGTAGTTTGTTGAATTCTACTTTGGCTGTGTACAGGAGCTCAGGGCGCAGGCGGCGAGGGCGTGAAAAGACTGGTGGTCCTTTGGTTTCGATGTGGTGAAAAATTCCCGACGTAGGTGGTGGGGGTAGGGAGACTCGGGGTGAGAAAAGCTCCTTGAATTCGTCGAGCAGGGAGGAGAACTCGTTGGAAGGCGCAAGACAGGTGATAGCGTCCATGTGTCTGGCACGAGAACCCTGGATCTTGCGTGCTGTAGGCTCATGAATGAGGCATAGATGACTTGGTTTGACGCCGAGCTTGTGGAAGGTGAGGAAGTCGAAACCAAGGATGGGTTGAGACACGTCTGCTATCACGAATAACCAACACAGAGTCTTGGGCAGACCGAGGTCTAAGGCGAGGGTGCGTACGCCATAGGAGGCGATGGAGGTACCGTTGGCAGCGAACAGGTCATACGAGGGTTGCTTTGACTTGTCTCGTAGTGAGGGAGGGATGAGGCTGACCGATGAACCGGTGTCGATGAGGAACTTCTTGCCGGAGGTGCGGTCGGTGACGCGCAGTAATGAGACGCCTGGAGGGACGGAGGCTGAGGCGTCTACCAGCCTCCGGTGTTGCCGTTTCCCGAATAGGTGCAATAGGGCTCACAGTTTCGAGCATTGCGGCCGAAAGTCTGGTGATACCAGCAGAGGGTAAATTTGTTGTGCTGGGGGTTGGCTGCTGTGTGTCAGAACTTGTAGGGCGTAGTGTGTGAGTCAGGAACCGGCACAGCAGTGGGTATGGAGGAGCAGAACTGCTCAATGGTGTCCATCCTGCGGTTCAAAATTTGCAACAGGCCCTTGATGTCTTGTGAGGTATTGCTCGGCTGAGGGGTGTTGACCCGGCTTACAAGTTCGATGGTAGGTACTGGTGTGACCGTGGCGGCAAGGGGTGCAGCAGCGCACTCGTTAAAAATTCTATCTGCCGCGGTTGCATATAGTTCCGGTGTCGTAGAGTAATCTACTGCGGACAGGATGTTGCGTACTTATGTGGGTAGCTTTTGTGCGTGAAGCTGGCGCAGGATAGAGTCGGGGAGTCTGTCTGTGTGACGGGAGTTCAGCCGACACATCTCCTCCCAGAGACGTCCCGGGGTTGAGTTCCCGAGGGAGGTACAGGATAGATCTTGCAGGAGGTTGGGGCTGGTCTGTTGATAACACGTCTTCAAGGCAGCCCGCAGGGTAGCGAATTTGTTGTGATCTGGAGGGTTGGAAATGGTTTGAGAGACCCATGTGGCCACTTCCGTGGGCAAGGCACAGAGCAGGGCGCAATACTTTTGCCCGTCGGTCGCTCGTGAGCCGGCGAGGGCTGCTTCCACATGGTCAAGCCAGTCCTCGACGTTGTGGTTGAAAGTCGGCAGAGAGATCCGTCCGTCCTTCATCCTGTGTGAGTGCTTATCTACGGGAGTCACCATTGTAGGGGTATCGAGATATTAATGTTGTCTAGCACTCAGATGGAAGGAAACTCTAATGTGGTTTTCTTATATAATATAAGTTATATGATAGACAGTCTGGTGCTGGAGATGCCGTGTGGTGGGGAGCTGCTCAGTAGAAGACGTTCGGTGAGTAGCGTGTTGAAGGAGGTAGATGTGCAGGAGCTTCGTTAGAGAAGATATTGCCTGTTGCTGGCCTCCTGGTTGAAATAAATGTTAACAGCGTGGAGGTTGCTGGAGGAGGTGTTGCTTGTTCAGGAAGATGGGCAGAATGAATCTCAATGGAGAGACAGAGCTTATATACCCCGCAGCAGCCGCCAGTCCTCTATGAATCATGTTGGGAAAACCCAGAAAGTTGCCGGTGACTAGTTTCGTTGCTAAGCAACGGTAACATCTGGGGACAGCTCTCGCTTGGTTGCTAGGCAACGGCACGTTGGAATGTGGTGGCAGGTGGTGGCTGTGGCTACGCAGTTGTAAGCAGTTGTAGGGGAGACGTCCACTACAATATGTAGAACCAGTCAGTCACTGGTTTTGTAATCAACGAAAACAATGCTGTGTCATTTCCTCGTGTGTTTTAATATTTACGTATTATTAATGAATTGTATTGCTCATTTTGCACACATAAACATTAATTCAATAAAAAAGACATTCAGTAATAAACATTAATGAATCTTTTGTACATAAGAGAAATGACGCTGTTTACACATTATGCATGTCGTCTGCACGTTGGCGGGCCGTTCAGACCCGTCAAAGTTCAAGTTTTCCCCGTCAAAATTTGTATTTATTTATTTTTTTGTGTATTCCAATAAAATACGTTAAGAATTAAAAACTCGCGAAATTTGAGAAGCTACTATATGACATTTAACCCTTCAATATGTCTTCAAAGAGACCATGATGCAGAGAAAGTGATGCTAGTGCTTCCAAGCATAAGCACAAGTCACTATCTATCCAGGAAAAGGGTGAATTTCCATGGTCCGGCACCGGTCAGGTCCCGAGGTTGCCGGACTAGAGAGGTACAACCTGTAGTAATAATAAGATAGGATCACAGATACGGGCAGATAATTGCACTTACATTTATTTTTTAAGCTTCCATACAATGATTTACAATTTGCATGGATATATGAGTCACTCACTTTCACGCTGTAATAAAATTAATCTTCTAAAAGAGGGAATTTTCAACTTGGGGATACATGTGATTACTTACTATGGGTATGTCTTAACAGAGCCTTAATTATTCAACTGATGCATTTACTGCCAGCCTGGATTGCTCTTGTTGCAACTAGGCTTCCGCACAAGAACTTCTTTCACGGGGAATAAAAAATAGTACTCTTGGGTTACCACACATAGTCTTCGTCACTGACAGTCACTGTAGACGGTTGTCACAGCAAGGAGAACTGGTAAGCGTGACTTGAATGAACCACTTCGGTGCAATAGGCCAGCCTTGATTGCTTTTGTCGCAACCAGGCTTCCACACGTGATATTTCCACGGGGATAACGAACCTAGGTTAACACACTTAATCTCGTGTCGATTATGGTCACTGTAGACGGGTGTCATGCAGGAGAACTCTGTAAGTGTGAATTGATTAACCATTTACTGTAGGTTTGATAGGCTAGCCTGGATTACTCTTCTCGCAACCAGGCATCCACACGTGATATTTCCACGAATAACAAACCTAGGTTAACACACTGAATCTGGTGTTGACGACGGTCCACAGGACAGGGTGGCGGTGGAGGACTCTGTGTGGTGTTCCGCTCGCTTCAGGAGGGAGAGGATGGGTACAACGTCTTAACTAACCCATGGCCTAGGGGATACTACTTAGAATAAGGTTTTGGGGTGTGAGACGATGAACAGTAAAACACTGTCTCACTGGCCTCTCCATATAGGCTGGCTAACATACCACTAATGGAAAATATATGTCGTAGTCATGGCTCGCCGGGTGCCTTATCTCTAGTAAAACAAACTTTGGACTTGGTTGCGTGAATAAGCCTAACGCAACCCATGACAATTATACAAGTTATATTCTAATAAAATCCTGGGTGGTGGCAGTCTACCGTGAAGGTAAAATAATTATACTCATAGGTGTTGTTTAGAATTATATGGTTTTCCCAGGTTAATCCATTAAATAGAGTACAGTATAACTAAGTACTGATAAATATTGAAAGAATATAAGTACTGATAAATATTGAAAGAATAAGAGGAAACTGTAAGAAACAAATACTGATACTGAAAGAAATACACTAAGTAAGAAATGTAAAATATAAAAATATAAATTAATAAAGATATTGAAATAAAGACTTAGAAAAATATAGAAAATAATGTTCTCATTGAAAATATAACGAAAGAAATTAAAAAAAAATGATATAGAAGATATATAATATACTGTACTAACAGAGAAAAGACATAAAAAACAATATTATAATTATATAAAAGAAAATTATTTCCTCTTACACATAATATTTCTTTATCAGTTAAAGAAACAGATTATAATGACAAAAACATATATCTCCCTCCCCCCTTACAACTGAATCACCCTTGAAGAACAAACAATGGCATTAAGTAAACATCCTTAGAAAACATATCAAATGATCAAGCATTCTTTTTTACAGACCACCAAACAACGAATTCCTTGCAGGCCAAACAATTAATTCCTTGAAGGTCAAACAATGAATTCCTTGCAGGCCAAACAATGAATTTCTTACAGGTTAAGCAATGTATTCATTACAGGCCGAACAATGAAATCCTTACAGGCAAAACAATTAATATCTTACTGGCCAAACAATGAATTCCTTGCAGGCTAAACAATGAATTACTTACAGACCAAACAATGAAATTCCTTGCAGACCAAACAATGAATTCCTAGCAGAACAAACAACGAATCCGTTACATGCTAAACAATTATTTTTGTACAGGCCAAACAATGAATTCCTTGCAGGCCAAACAATGAATTTCTTACAGGCCAAACAATGTATTCCTTACAGGTCAAACAATGAATTCCTTGCCGTCCAAACAATTATTTTTTTACAGGCCGAACATTATTTTCCTTACAGGCTGAACATGAATTCCTTACAGGTCAAACAATGAATTCCTTACAGGCCAAACAATGATTTCATTACAGGCCAAACAATAAATTCCTTACAGGCCAAACAATGAATTCTTTGCAGGCCAAACAATGAATTTCTTACAGGCCAAACAATTATTTTTTTACAGGCCAAACAATATATTCCTTACAAGCCAAACAATGATTTCCTTACAGGCCAAACAATTATTTTGTACAGGCCAAACAATATTTGTGTTAGTGGCCACACTGCGCCTCCTTCCAGTTGTTCCCAGTGCAACAGTCCTACTGAAGGTTTCCTGCGCTGAAGGCTATGTTACCCATCTGAGCACAATCCAAAGTGATGCCACCTGGACTTGGATTAGAACCTGGTTGGGGGTTGAGCATTGCTTCATAATGGGGATAGTTGATAATTTGATTCCTATGGGGGGAGTGACGAGGGAGCCCAGGAATGGTCATCCACATCTGGTGAGAAAAATTAATATAATCAGTATAGAGGAAAAGAACACTTCTTTTTCTTTTTTTTTTGGGATTAAACTGTTATATATCTTTGAGATAATATCTGTAACTCCTGTATTTATGTGGACATAAAGTACATTATAGAAGAGCATTTGGTAACAATTCAGAAGAATACAACCACAGAAATTACTTGTATAACAAAAAAAAAATTCTATATTTTTTTTTGTTCATGGTGTTTCAGTCGAATCTGACCATTATATGTGGAAATCAGCTGTTATGGAAATATGACCCGTCACTACCAAGAGGGATATTGTAGAGTAAAAAGACAAAAAAAGACAAAACCAACCATGAAGAAACATGACCTAGCATTACCTGTTCTGAAATTAACATAAACTAACTTTAACTTACCTGACTTTATCTTTGCCGTAAAAATTTTGCACCATTTTATCAAATAAAAAACATAGTTATCTTCATAATAATGACATTCTGCACCCCATTTTGGACACTTTATGGCGGAAGTATGCACAATACCCCACCACAGGCTTTGAAAATATTAATTGTGGTTGTTTTATTTAAACTAAATAAATACATTCAATAGTTTGCAACTTTGAGAAATAGCACCCTTCCAACAGAGCACCCATCTTGCAACTAACAATATCAGATTCAAAAGCCTGAGCACACACACAGCAGTATCACATGGCAATATAACTTCTGATGATTGGTTGGCTTTAATTGCTTTAATAAGATGTAAACAACTTGTCAAGCGATCTTGTACAATTGCCGAAAGGAGTGTTGTCACTCTTTTTAAAATGATTCATCCAGACAGTGGTGTATGGCAACTACATCTTAAGGCTGAGGCAAACTGGGCACTTTTCCTCCCAACATGTTGGGCAAACACAGTCCGGCCAGCAAAACAAAGGGTCGTTTGCATCACACTGGGATGTTTTATTGGTGTGTTTGCCTAACGCAAAGTAAACAACAACAAAGCATCTGGACAAAGTTTGCCATGGATCCCATTACTACAGCTGAAGCCTTGCAGGATTGTGCTACAGTTCTTCAATTACTGAAGCAAGTGAGGCATCTGCAAAAGCTAAAGAAAAGACAAAGGGTGCATCGTGAAGTTTGTTTACAGGTGGCGGTGGCTGGCTGGTCAAAGAAGACCTGAATAATGATTTAATAATACAGTACTAAAGAAGTTTTAAAATAATGTACAAACATTTCACCATTTTATGTGTAATATTTTAAATTATTATTGTTTCGTGATTTATTGAAATTATTACTTTAATATTCAACACCAAATAAGAATCCAGCTGGTATGAAACACGAGGTACAGTCACCCAAAAAAGTCCTGTCGCAAACCATGAACCCCGAGATTCAGACTCGTGAACCCGAAGCAGTAGACACTGATACATTATTCTGTCCATAAATACTTCGGATTCAAGAGTCTGAATCTCGGGGTTCATGGTTCGTGACAGGACTTTTTTGGGTGACTGTACCTCGTGTTTCATACCAGCTGGATTCGGTAAAATGCTACTCCCACCACATACGCGGCACGGGCAATCCCCAATGGGAGGTTCACGGTGCCATCAGCTCGATGAACAGGCTTTGTGTGAAATATAACATAGTCTAGGATTGCTTTTAGTGTCCTTGTGGTATGGTCGGAAGCGTTCCCTGGTCACGCGCAGTAGGTAGATGGTTCGAGTCCTGGCTAGTGAGGTCGTTGATTATATGTTCAAGTCCGAGTGTTATATGGACTAAAAATGAAGTATATACATATAAACTTTTTTTTTATGGATTAGCCCACCCGGGCACAGGTTACTGACCCACATTGTTCGCAGAAGAGGTTATAAGAAATAATTTGTCAAAGCTAAAGGTTAGTAAGAGTCCCAACCCTGACGTGATGCATCCCAGAGTGTTGAGAGTGCTAAAGAACCTGTTCTGTAAATGCCTTGATGAGCAGAAGGTCCCCAGTAATTGGAAAATAGCTTATGCGAGTCCTATCTTCAAGAAGGGCGACCATCACTCCACGAATAACTATAATACCAATGAGCCTGACCAGCATAGTATGTAAAGTACTTGAGAACATTATAAGAGATCCCATGAGGAAACATCTACTATGAAACAACTTGTACAGGATTGCCAACACGGTTTTATGCCAAGCTCCTGCCTAACACAATTACTCAAGGTACTGGATGTTTAGACCCAAATTTGTTTGCTTCATAAATGACCTGCCAGAAGGGTGAACTAAAAGAGTGATAAAGGGTGAAGTAGCAGGGTGATACAATGTGAACTAGCAGAGTGATTCAGGGCGAGCTAGCAGAGTGATTCAGGGTGAACTAGCAGAGCGATACAAGGTGAACTAAGAAGAAGGATACAGGGTGAACTAGCAAGGTAATACAGTGTGATCTAGCAGAGTGATACAGGGTGAACTCGCAGAGTGATACAGGGTGAACCAGCAGATTGATATAGGGTGAAGTAGCAAGGTGATACAGGGTGAACTAGTAAGGTGATACAGGGTGAACTAGCAGAGTGATACAAGGTGAACTAGCAGAGTGATACAGGGTGAACCAGCAGATTGATATAGGGTGAAGTAGCAAGGTGATACAGGGTGAACTAGTAAGGTGATACAGGGTGAACTAACAGAGTGATACAGGGTGAACTAGTAGAGTGATACATGGTGAATTACCAGAGTGATATAGGGTGAAGTATCAGAGTGATGCAGGGTGAACTAGCAGAGTGATACAGGGTGAACTAGCAGAGTGATACAGGGTGAACTAGCAGTGATAATGGGTGAACTAGCAGAGTGATATAGGGTGAACTAGCAGAGTGATACAGGGTGAACTGGCAGAGTGATACAGTGTGAACCAGAAGAGTGATAATGGGTGAAAAAGCAGGGTGATACATTGTGAACTAGCAGAGTGATACAGGGTGAACTGGCAGAGTGATACAGGGTGAACCAGAAGAGTGATAATGGGTGAAAAAGCAGGGTGATACATTGTGAACTAGCAGAGTGATACAGGGTGAACTAGCAGTGATAATGGGTGAACTAGCAGAGTGATATAGGGTGAATTAGCAGAGTGATACAGGGTGAAGAAGCAGAGTGATATAGGGGGAACTAGCAAGACAGATACAGTGTGAACTAGCAGATTGATACAGGGTGAACTAGCAAGAGTGATACAGGGTGAACTTGCAGAGTGATACAAGGTGAACGAGCAAGAGTGATGCAGGGTGAACTAGGAGAGTGATACAGTGTGAACTAGCACAGTGATACAGGGTGAACTGGCAGAGTGATACAGGGTGAACCAGAAGAGTGATAATGGGTGAAAAAGCAGGGTGATACATTGTGAACTAGCAGAGTGATACAGGGTGAACTAGCAGTGATAATGGGTGAACTAGCAGAGTGATATAGGGTGAACTAGCAGAGTGATACAGGGTGAAGAAGCAGAGTGATATAGGGGGAACTAGCAAGACAGATACAGTGTGAACTAGCAGATTGATACAGGCTGAACTAGCAAGAGTGATACAGGGTGAACTAGCAGAGTGATACAAGGTGAACTAGCAACAGTGATACTGTGTGATCTAGTGAGGTGATACAGTGTGAACTAGCACAGTGATACAGGGTGAACTAGCAAGAGTGATACAGGGTGAACTAGCAGTGATATTCAGGGTGAACTAGCAAGTGTGATACAGGGTGAACTAGCAGAGTGATACAGGGTGAACTAGCAAGATTGATAAAAGGTGAACTAGTAGAGCGATACAAGGTGAACTAGCTAGAGGGATACAGGGTGAACTAGCAAGGTGATACAGCATGAACTAACAGTGATACAGGGTGAACTAGCAAGAGTGAGACAAGGTGAACTAGCAGAGTGATACAGTGTGACCTCGCAGAGTGATACGGGGTGAACTAGCAGAGTGATACAGTGTGACCTAGCAGAGTGATACAGGGCGAGCTACCAAGAGTGATACAGGGTGAACTAGCAGAGTGGTGCAAGGTTAACTAGCAAGAGTGATACAAGGTGATCTATCAGAGTGATACAGGGTGAACTAGCAGAGTGATAAAGGGTGAACTAGCAGAGTGATAAAGGGTGAAGTAGTAGAGTGATACAGTGTTGAAATAGCAGAGTGACACAGGGTGAACTAGCAGAGTGATACAGGGTGAACTAACAGAGTGATACAGGGTGAAATAGCAGAGTGATACAGGGTGAACTAGCAAGAGTGATATAGGGTGAACTTGTAGAGTGATACAAGGTGAACCAGAAGAGTGATAAGGGGTGAAGTAGCAGTGTGATACAGTGTGAACTAGCAGAGTGATGAAGGGTGATGTAGCAGAGTGATACAGGGTGAACTAGCAGAGTGATACAGGGTGAACTAGCAGATTGACACAGGGTGAACTAGCAAGAGTGATACAGGGTGAACTCCCAGAGTGATACAAGGTGAACGAGCAAGAGTGATGCCAGGTGAACTAGGAGAGTGATACAGTGTGAACTAGCAGAGTGATACAGGGTGAACTGGCAGAGTGATACAGGGTGAACCAGAAGAGTGACAATGGGTGAAGTAGCAGGGTGATACAGTGTGAACTAGCAGAGTGATTCAGGGCGAGCTAGCAGAGTGATACAGGGTGAACTAGCAGAGTGATAATGGGTGAGCTAGCACAGTGATACAGGGTGAACTAACAAGAGTGATACAGGGTGAACTAGCAGAGTGATACGGGGTGAACTAGCAGAGTGATACAGTGTGAACTAGCAGAGTGATACAGGGCGAACTACCAAGAGTGATACAGGGTGAACTAGCAGACTGGTGCAAGGTTAACTAGCAAGTGTGATACAAGGTGATCTAGCAGAGTGATACAGGGTGAACTAGCAGAGTGATAAAGGGTGAACTAGCAGAGTGATAAAGGGTGAAGTAGTAGAGTGATACAGTGTTGAAATAGCAGAGTGACACAGGGTGAACTAGCAGAGTGATACAGGGTGAACTAACAGAGTGATACAGGGTGAAATAGCAGAGTGATACAGGGTGAACTAGCAAGAGTGATATAGGGTGAACTTGTAGAGTGATACAAGGTGCCAGCTGGGTGAAGTAGCAGAGTGATGTGAATAGCAGAGGATAAAGGGTGAACTAGCAGAGTGATAAAGGTGAGTAGTGATACAGGGTGAAACAATGAACTAGCAGAGTGAAACAGGGTGAACTAGCAGAGTGATACAGTGTGAACTAGCACAGTAATACAGGGTGAACTAGCAGAGTGATACAGGGTGAACTAAAAGAGTGATACAGGGTGAACTAGCAGAGTGATACAGGGTGAACTAGCAGAGTGACATAGGGTGAACTAGCAGAGTGATACAGGGTAAACTAGCAAGACTGATACAGGGTGAACTAGCAGAGTAATACAGGGTGAACTAGCAAGAGTGATACAGGGTGAACCAGCAGAATGATACAAGGTGAACTAGCAAATGATACATGGTGAACTAGCAAGGTGATACAGGGTCAGCTAGCAGAATAATAAAGGGTGGAACTAGCAGAGTGATCAAAGGGTGAACTAGCAGAGTGATACAGGGTGAACTAGAAGAGTGATAATGGGTGAACTAGCAAGGTGATACAGTGTGAACTAGCAGAGTGACACAGTGTCAACGAGCACAGTGATGCAGGGTGAACTAGCAAGAGTGATATAGGGTGAACTAGCGGAGTGATATAGGGTGAACTAGCAGAGTGATATAGGGTGAACTAGCAGAGTGATATAGGGTGAACTAGCAGAGTGATAAAGGGTGAACTAGCAAGACTGATACAGGGTGAACTAGCAGAGTGATACAGGGTGAACAAGCAGAGTGATACAGGGTGAACTAGCAAGACTGATACAGGGTGAACTAGCAGAGTGATACAGGGTGAACAAGCAGAGTGATACAGGGTGAACTAGCAGAGTGATACAGGGTGAGCTAGCAGAGTGATATAGGGTGAACAAGTTTCCTTACCTTCCTTTGCAGGTCCCAAGCCAACCCTCCAAAACTCAGAGGAAACATAAAAATCCAACTGATGCCAAAGATTACAGGATTGTATGCCGGGGAGGTGAAGAGGATGATGAGGTTGATCAGGAGAAGAAAGATGGTCTTGGCCAGGCTGGTGCGGAGGTTTGCCAGAGAATCTTCAGTCGGGAAGTCGTCACGCTGAGACAAAAATAATAATTAATTTATCATTAAGGTATGTTGACACACACACACACACACATCATTAATACACTAGCATTTCACAAATGCCAAGTGGGTAGGGTTCTGTAAAGCTGTGTGTGTGGATTTGTGCAGTGTATCAGGGAACACTAGAAACATGGCTAACAGTGGCACCATACACGGTTTACCACTTCGGCCAGTACTGCAGTCTCTCTAAAATCCTGCTAGAATAAAAGTATAATTCTTTTATTTTATGTAAGGCTTATTTAAGCAGGGAAATATACCTTGCTTACTGATGAAGTTACGTAAAATTAATTTCTCTATAAAATGGTAAGAGAGACGAAAATAACATTTCAAAAACTAAATTAATCTGAAAAAATCCTCAGGATATGTGAAGGCAGTCAAACTATGCAATATGATACAAGGGATGTCAGTCAATGTGGAATATCACATAAATTTTAGAAGTAATATACTCGCACTGTAAACACAATGAACGACATGACGGTCACCATATTTATAAAAAGACACTTCAGCAAGTAAAAATCGTGCAAAATTTCGGTATGGTAACCATATTTTCAAATAAAATAGGCCATAAAGGATAAAAAAATCAGTGTTAAAGTTGCTCAAAAGTGACGTGACTGCAAAACGCCCAGTGATTGACTGTGAAGTCACTAGCTTGTAGTAAAGCAGAAGACGGGAGTCAGCCAGTTGATTTGCACACTTTGACAGCCACCTTCGACCAAAAATGTTGTTCAAGAAAAGAAAGAAGCATCGTTGGTGCTTTGTTCCAATGTGTAAGAGTACAAACAAAGTCACACCAGGAAAAATATTTGTCACAGTACCGAGGGAAATGAAGATAAGGAAGATGTGGTGGCTTGCTGCTCGCCCAGCGTTTCCCATATCAGTGCACTGCTTCTACTGTTGTAAAGATCATTGTTATCTGAATATCAAGTTAATATAATCAAATACACATGATGATACCAGATAACTAATTTATTTATACCTACATTAAAGACATGACAGTATATTATACTTGGTACCAAAAAGATGCATAGAAAGATGAGAACTTTTGACAGTGGAAATTAAAGCTTCTATCACTGATTTCAGTGATTTCCTTAATTTTGAAGTCAGGACAGCCATGGCCAGATGATTTGATGGGGACAATGAGAGATATGCTGGGGATAGCCAGGGAACATGCTGGGGTGTCCTAGGGACAGGTTGGGGCCAAATATTTTACCCTTAACTGCTACCTTTTGTAGGTAAGGTTTCATTAGGTTAGGTGAGGTTATATTAGGATACCTTTGGTCATTATCTTTTCTTTCTTTTATCCTGTCCACCACTGATCGCACGTTAGCCGCTTGGGCGATCAGTCACGTCTCTGATTACTTTTCCTTTTCTTTAAACCTCTTCACCATAAGATCGGCTTGTTAGCCGCTTGGGCGAAGGGACACGTCTCTGTTACGCACTGTTGGCAAATACTGGGCATGCACCGGCTCCTGAATGTACCTGAACCCGCTCCAGTGTTGGTTAAATCTTGTCTTGAAAGAGCTCACACTCGGTGCCGTCACAACACTTTCTAGTAGATTGTTCCAAGAGTTTACAACCCTCACTCCGAAAAAGTTTGCCCTCACAGTTTTCTGGACTTGCGGCTTCTTCAATCTTGAGCTGTGACCCCTTGTGGGGCGAGTGTCCGCCACTCCAAGTAAGGACACTCGAATGAGTACTGCACCTTGAGATGCTTATACACCTCAACTAGGTCCCCCCTTGCCCGTCTGTAATATAAGCTAGACAAGTTCAGGCGTTCCAATCTCTCAGGGTAGCCGAGGTGCCGAAGTGCAGGCCCCAGTCTGGTGGCCTTCCTTTGAACATTTTCAACCAACTGATAGTCCCTAGCATATCTTGGGGACCAGACGGGGTGACAGTACTCCAGATGGTGAAGCACTTCACTCTTGAAGATCGTTACGAGGGACGGACCGTCTAGAATCTAGATATCTGAACGACCTTCTTATAAGACCCAATAATTTATTTGCCTGATTTACCTTCTTCTCGCAATGGCCCGAAAACTTCAGCTCATTGTCAACACACACACCTAGGTCCTTCTCACATTCAGTCTCAAATAGCGCAGTTTCTTCATCCCGTTGGGACTTATGATACGCCTCCTTACCGTTGGTACGCCCCAGGTGCATCCTCTTACACTTCATGACATTGAATCTCAGGAGTCATTTCTTCGACCATTCTTGGAGCCAACAGAGGTCCTTCTGCAGCTCTTCACAATCTGCTTGGTTCTTCATTTCCCGAAATAACTTGGCGTCATCGGCAAACATTTGTATGGAGGAGTGTACAACGTCAGGCATGTCATTTATGAAACAAACAAACAACAGCGGGTCCAATACACTGCCCTGTGGTACCCCATTTGTGACAGGTACGGATGATGATTTTGTGCCATTAATCACCACACACTGCTAGCGGTCATGTAGAAAGTCTTCTATCCACTCTAGGACATTTCCCCGAATTCCGTGCCCTTCCAGTTCGATTTTCAGCCTTTCTTGGGGTACACTGTCGAAAGCCTTGGCAAAATCTAGGTAATTATTGTCGATATTACCACCCCGTTCCAGAATATGGGTCCAAATATCCAATACCTTGAGCAATTGTGTTAAGCAGGAGCGCCCCAGTATAAAACCGTGTTGGCAATCCTTTACAAGGTTGTTTCGTAGTAGTTGTTCCTTTGCGGCATCTCTGATAATACTCTCAAGTATTTTACATATTATGCTGGTCAGGCTCACCGGTCTATAGTTGTTCGTGGAGTGACGATCGCTCTTCTTGAAGATAGGACTCACCACTTTCCATTCACTGGGGACCTTTTGTTCATCCAGGCATTTACAAAACATGATCTTCAGGGGCTCTGCAAGCTCATTGCACAACTCTCTTAGCACTCTAGGATGCACCATGTCAGGGCCGGGACTCTTATGGACCTTTAGCCTGGACAGTTTAATTCTGATACCCTCTGCTGTGAACACAATGTGGGTCAGTGCTGTGTCGAACCGTCTGTCCTCAAACGTAGGAAGGTTAATCGCATCCTCTCTTGTGAAAACCGAGGAAAAGAAGCTGTTCAATGCCTCAGCTTTATCCTGGTCAGAATCTGCATAACTACCGTCTTCAAGCTTCAGGTCTGATACTCCTACTCGCGTTTTTAATTTCGACATTGCATAGCGGCAAAACGCCTTTGGGTTTGACTTGACCTCGCTTGCAACCAGCCTCTGGAACTCCTTTTCAGCCCTCCTACACTCTATCTTTGCTTGGTTTCTGGCTCTTGCATACATCCTCCTGTCCTGCTAATCGTTTGACCCAACCCACTTCTTGAATTTCTGGGTTTTCTTCTTAACTCTGTCGACTGCCGCGTGGTTCATGTGTAGGGATCCCCTCTTATTCCTATAGGCACTGGGTTTGGTTTTGGTATATATTTATTGATCAAATGGGTCACTTTATTAGTTATGATATTTAGCGTAGTGTCTGTGTTCTTGTGCCTTAATGAGTCAGGCCAGTTGATGCCTCTCATCTCTTCCCTCATCCCGTTGTAATATCTCTTGGAATATTTGCACCTTGGCCTGGCCTTATCCTGAACTAGGTAACAGTTAAATCTGAATGACAACACTATATGGTGACTGGTGCCAACTGGGGCAAGGTGTTCCAGTTTGGCCACCATACCTTGTTTGTTATGTTGAGGTTAAGTGGCTTGGGTGTTTGCTCCCCTCACTAATGTGTCGGGTCTCTAACATGTTGGAACAGAAAATTATCTCTCAGAGTTTCTACAAAATGATTTGCAGGGTTATTTAAGTCATTTGAGGTGAACTCGTTTCTCCAGTCGATGTCGCCATAATTAAAGTCCCCCATTATAAGGAGGTGGCTAGGGTTGATCATCGCCGCATTGTCAATTAAGGCTCCTAACTCCCTTTGATTTAGTGGGCCAAAGTTTGGGGATCTGTAGATTCACTCGACGATAAGTAAGGCCCCTCCCTTTAATTTAATTTTACGCCACTTGAACTCTTCAAAAATATCCTCTCCCTGTACCCTCGCCTGGCTGGCTCTAAGGTCTTGCCTAGCATAGATAACCACACCCCTCTTGCAAGTTTCTTGAGAAAGGTTCGTAAATGAGTCATATCCAGCAATACTGAACTCACATTCCTCTGGGTCGATTCTCCTGTTCTTGTATTACAGTTCTACAACTTCTACAATATCTGGTTGGTGTGCCTTCAGCCGTGTTTCAAACTCCTCTCTCTTACCGAGAAACGTGTCAGTATTAGTGTACATGACATTCAAACCAGAATTTGTTCTCGGTAACGTCTCTGCTCTTAGTAGTAACCCCGCCCTCCCCCATTCTCAGAAGCTGCAGCATTTGCTAAGTACACTGTATTTTGCAGGGTGTGGTTAGATTGTTTACACGGCGCTCGCCTCCTCCTGTCTGGTAGGCGGAGCTGGTGCCACCTCCCGGGTGGGGGATAGAGTGGGTGGAGGGTGCGCTGCTGCCCCCTGGCCCTGTGTCGGCACACTTGCTTCCACTACCCTCCCCCCTGAATATAACCCATGTACACCCACCCCCCGTTCCTCCTTGACTCCTCCCATAATTTTCTTATGTTTCTTTCAATATCCTGCCATGTTCGTCAATGTTTCTTTCAATATCCTGCCATATTCGTCAATGTTTCTTTCAATATCCTGCCATGTTCGTCATTAAGAGGTGAACAAATCTAAAGTTCCACCATTTGTATGATTGCTTTGGCTTATTTATTATATTCTATTAAAGTACCTGGTACTTGGATAAAATATTCTTAATTTAAAAAAAATAACTGCCACTCATGATAACAAATGTAATAATAAAAAAATTCTTCCCCTATTTTCTAGAGCAAATTGCAGGTATATAAACTTGTAATGACTGCTACATCTTTTCCACAGAAAATTAATAATTTTTGAATAATCAGTATGACATGGGGGCATGGAAAAAATAT